AGCAACGGCCAGAGAGTATTTGTTGTTGATGTATGCAAACCAAGGATACTGCGACTATCATGTCAATACAATAGTAAATTATAGAGTTAGGGTTTCGACGAGTCGCTGTGGATAACTGTGCCCGTCGTGCCGTGCTCGGACCGGTGGGTCATTGCAATCTCGAGGACGCGGCAGTCGATGACCACTTCGGGGCCGTACGACGCACCGGTCCGCGCCAGCGCCTTGTCGACTTGACCGCCGCTCGCAAAGCAGCCCGGCCAAAAGTTGGCGGCCGCCAAGTCCGTATCCAGAAGCCCCACGTGCTTGAGCGCGGCCGCAATCTAGTACCGAGAATACCGTAAAAACAAGCAATTTTTGTGGAAACGACGGGAATACCAATTCCGAGCAGAAAAAGCCCGACAGCGTCGCATTTGTCTCTTCTTGCTTGACGAGCTTGCCAAGTGTCATCACGTACGGCTTGCCCTCGACCTGTGGATATACAAAGTTGATACAAAGTTGATACAATTCCTCCGCACCTGATTGGCAAACGCAGCGAGCTGTGCAGCGACGTCCGTCAAGTCCATCGTCGGTGGCAGCGACAACTTGCGGAGCGCCATGTACTTTGTAAAGCAGGACGTGTACGCTAAAATGCGCGGCACCTATAAACAGTGTGCACACTATTTCAAAGCAAGCGCTCCGTCGTACGAGCGGGAAGATGGTGACGCCGTCGCCGGTCGCTTCCAACAGCATGAGTCGGTGGCGCGAATGAGGCACCTCGACAACGATGCCCACATGGTCCCACTCGGCCCCCGTCACCTAGTGGTCCATCACACAACGTGTCCATACAAATATACAGCAAAAGTACCGAGCGCTGGACTCCGCTCATCGAGTTCTTGGATCGAAAAAGCACTAAGTCCCCAACCGCGACGAACCGATGCAAAATGCGCAAATGCACCACGTCCCGCGGAATGCCCGAGGCGCGCTCGTGCTCGAGCGACGTGGTCGACACCGCTACGAGCGGAAGAATGAGCAACCATCTCCTATTCAAAAGGTGTCTCTTCTACGACGGACCGCCAAGGAATGAGAGGAACCGGGGCGACTCCATGACCCCTGGCATGGGCAAAAGCTGCCGCAAGAAGCTCTCGAGCGCGAGCTGACGCTCCAAGACAAACGCTTCGTCGACGCTTGGCAGCCTACGTATCTTGGTGAGACGTCGTCGTCTTCTCTAACTGCCTCAAACCAGGTTTTCGGGGGCAGTGACGGCAGCACCATCGACAAGTCGCTCGAGAGCTGCGATTGGAGGTCGCAAAAGTCGCGGTACCGGCGCGTCACGTGCCACTTGAGCTCGCCATGACACACCGAGATGCAATACATCTACCCATACCCTGAGCTTTGAAAGCGAGACGAGGTACGACGTACAGTGTAGATGGCCTCGGCGAGGTCTTTGACCGTCTTGCTGGACGAGATGGCGAGCTCAAATTCCGTTGGCAAAGCAGAGGACGCGGGCACAAGCCGCAGCTGGAGGCTTGGCACGACCTCTTCGCAGACGCTCGAGCACGTATGTTGCCAGTGGTCGTACGCCATGGTGAGCGCGGGCGGATCGCGCTTGACGACGAGCTCATCGAGCCGGACGTCCTCTTCGCGCTTCCAGATCGTTTGTGGATTCGTCGGCGACTCGTTGCAGCTGCAGCGAAAGGCAAGGCCACACGAGGGGCATGCGTCCAGCTGGAACACGGTTGATGCTTCGTCGATTGCAAAGCCGGCGCTGAAATGCTTGGCGCCACCGAGCTCGTCGACGACGACCACATCGACCCAGAGGTTGTCTCGCAAGAGCACGTGCACGATCTTCATGTGCTCGTGGCTGGCGCGCGCAGCGTTGACCATGAAGAGCTTGATCTCGACTTCTTCGCGGCCCGTCGACGCCTTCTTGAACGTAATAGCATACGTGTCCTGGAGGATGTTCAAGTCCAAGTCCATGGGCGGCGCCGAGATGGACGACGCGACCGAGGACGACGACGCGCCGCTGGCTTCGAGCGGATCGCTCGACTCGGCGAGCTGGCACCCGCGGGCATATGCGTACGCTTCGTTCATGGACACGGATGTTCGTGATGCAATCGATGACGAGGACGATGCGATAGAGATCATGTCGTTCGAGAGCATGGGGATCGCCGACTCGTTCGTCATGGGCGGGCTCGCGTACGCGGACGTATTGTCGGTCGGCGCCGGCGTCGGTGGGCGGACGCTGGCCTCGGCCCGGCCGCGCAAGAAGAGAAACACAATCTTCTTGATCAAGCCTGCGGGCAAGCACGCGAGCTTGCAGTTGGTCGACTCGAGGCGTAGGCGGCTGCGTTGATTGTCGACGTGGACGTGCAGCGTCTTGAGCTTGAAGCGCTGCGGACACGCCTAGCAGTACGTCGTGGGCATGAGGCGCCATGCAGAGAACGTCATCATCTGCGTACGTGGCGGTCGGCGGCGCGTGCGCCGTCCAGGCGGGCGTCGCCAAAGCACGAGGTCGCGTAGCACACGAGGCCGTCCCAGCCCATGCCGGTCGCGGTCCCAGCTTCGAAATGGCCGAGCTAGCAAGTGCAGCACGGCGTTGTGGTATTTTATTACCTCGATGTTTGTATGCTCGTTGCTCGAACGTAAAAAAATGGTATAAGCACGGCCATTGCAATCTTTTTCGCCGCGTCTCATTGGTAGAAATACGGATACAAGATGCTCGCGCAGCCAATGAGCGCAGGCGGATTGAAGCGGTGCAGGAGCTGGTGCAGGCCCGAGTCATCGAAGCGCCTCTGCGGTCACTTCATCGGCGGCGACCTGTCCCTGGCATGGCAACTGCATGGCCTATGTACACAGTAGGGCGACTGCCTTGGCGCGGTAAGACGTAGCCGGCAACGCATGCATTGCCTCCTGCACGAGTGAAGAGCCAGCGGTCGTGACAAGGTAGAAGCCGAGCGCAGGATGGCTTCAGAAGACTCGAGGCGTACTGACTGCAATGACCAGCATCGCAGCTGAGATCTTATTGGCGCCGCAGCTGCGAGCCCGTCGGTGGACGCCTGAAGCATGCGAGTATGCCCACATTTGGACAGAAAGGGTTGGCAGCGTGCAATGACCACTGTGCAAACTCTAGAAGTATCACTTGAGATACCAAGGCGCGTCGCATTCTCCGCGCCGACCATACTTGGTGCCTCGACGCCTCGCACATTCCTGAGCTACGATCAAGCACCTCCGCTGGACGCACCAGCCATGCCTCGCGAGCGCATTACGAAGTCCACCATTTTCGCCTTTATATTTGCATGTTGATTAGCTCATTTCAACATCAAG